TGTTACCGCCACATCCGGTCATCTCTTAACCGAATGCACAGGCAATCACCAAACAAAGTAAAACAAGTGTTCAACATAATTGGATTGTTTATTTATAACTAGGTTTGACTAAGGCATCTCTAAACCGCTCTCGTGGTCATACAATCATCAGTCCACATAAGCATCATCACCTGCACAAATAAAGTGCAGAAAACAAAACAAAGAAAAGGGAACAAAAATTAGCTTTAGAGCTAAGTAAGTACTACCCAACCCCGTAAAATAATCAGGTTTGGCTAAAAATAGTTTTTCATATAATACTATATAAAAATGACACACTCCACCAAAATCCTTTTCTCTTTGATATTTCTCAAAATCACTTCTTTAATAAAGTCCTCAACTTTTCTTTGAAAATACTATAGTAACTCTTCTCTTAGATTTTCTCAAAATTCACTTCTTCTCTATCTTCCTAGTAATTTAGAAGGGCGGTGCTCAACCTTTCGACTGAGCCCGGTGGACCGTGGTTACGGACGGCCACCCCGAACGAGTGCCGGTACCACAACTGCTCTTGCGGAAACGAAACGACTACCTTAAGTGTGCACACCCCCTAAAAGGGATTCCAAGCCCTCCGAGTAGTAAGTCGTCACGAGTAATCGGGACTCAGTCTACCAACTACCCCTGAATAAGATATCTTTGAATGATTAGGGACTACTACTACAACTCTGCTTCTTAAAAGGGATCATCGATCCAATTATCACTCAAAACTTATCCTCACCCTTAGCAGTAGCAGCCCTTTTACGTCAGAACTACTACTGCTACCACAACTCTCCTTCTTAAAAGGGATCATCGATCCGAAAGTTACTCAAAAATCTCTTCTTAGTAGTAGCCCTAACCACTCTCCACATTTTAAGGGACGTGGAAAACCAACACCTCGGATTACTCCCGAGATGCCTACCTCTTATGAAATCATTCTTTTATCTTGAATTAATATACTTCAAAATATTCCTCAATTTCTCAAACTGCCTCAAAATGTTTAAATAAAATATTTAATACCCAAAAGCATTTAGTTTCACTTCTCAAATATCACAGATCCAACAATCTCAAAATCTCATACATATACATCATAACTCACATTAAAATCATGTATCACATAATACATATATAATACGAGGAAACGATTTTGGATCGGCAGAGAAACTTACCTCAAATTCAATGCTTCTATTTTTCTTCCTCTATTGCGGTCTCTAGATAATCACCTTTTTAATTAAGATGATATAATTAGTCGACTTTCTAACCTTAATTATTTACCAAATTTTCCCTTATTATTAGTTGAGTTTATCAATCTGTTTAGCCATTAATTCGAATTTCATTTTGCCATTAATCATCGATTAGTTTCTTCTATCAATTTTTATTCCTTACTCTACTATTTTTAATTCGGCCTTTCATTTATTTACTATTATTAATCCAACCTCCGCATATATAATTAGTTTACTAATCATCATCAATTAAAGATGTTGTTATTAATGTAATACTTATAAAATAATAGATCCGAAATGTATATTATTACAGATAATATATCCTAATTATGAAATTTCTCTAATTGCCTTTATTTAGTCCATCTTAATTAATCCACTATTTTAGTGTAAATAATAATCCACAATTTGTAATCCAATTTATCTCTTAATTATTCATGGTCACGTTATTAGTTTTTAACTTTTTATTAACTACACATCGGTTTATTTTACCATTTAACATTATGTATTTATGTTAAATAACAAATACACAATTTATCCAAGTGATTATTATCGATCAACCAAGCCAACATCATCATTAATATTTCTCATCTCAAATTTATTCATTTTGCAGATTACTACTGTTATTATTATTATTATTATTATTGGTAGTAGTAGTAGTTCGGTATTTAAAAGTAATCGGCCGACGTAACCATATGTACAATTCCAGTTCAATCCACCAAATGATTCAACCGTCCACTTGTTTATATGATTATTGTTAATGGTCTAAATGAATATAATCAGCCCAGATATTTACAGCAATTGACCGGTTTATCAATACATACAACTAATAATATTTAATTTTGTTATTAAACATTCAGCCCAGTTGCTTTATAAAATTTCAGCCCAATCCCAAATAAACACTTAGCCAGCCTGTTCGCATGAACTACGTACGTATATACTACTCCTTACATAACTTTGTCTTCTTCGTATAATCACCGGAAAAACGCAAGGGGTAGCCGGCTTACCTTATTGATGATGGAAGAGTTGGTACGGTGGCGGAGGAGGACGTCTCAGGTCGACCTGGTGGCAGAGAGGTGGTCTGGCGGCAGCAGCAGGGATTCCTCCGTTCTTCGGCGTAAAACCAGTCCGGCGGCCACTCCGGTGAACTACGGCGAAGCTTTTCTCCCTCGTTTCACGTCCGTTTTCAATGATTCTTTCGCCGTTGGATTCCTCTCACGGAGGGTAAGGTTTTCAGAGGTGTTTAAGCTCTGGTTTTGTACTAGAATAAAGGGTTGAAAAATTGTGTATATAAACGCATATATGTATATATATCGGTCGGCTCAGATAGCAGGTCACACAGAAGAGGTGCGGGTGTAAGTTCAGGTCGGGGCCGGTATATAAACTGATATATAGACAAAGGGTTATAGCAGGTTTCACATGGGAATGTATACATGTAAATATTAAAATATGTATTTGTGTTTATATGAATACGCAGGTCACTAGTTTTCGCTTGGTGTAGAATAAGAACACGTAGCTCGTTTGCTTCATCATTCGCATGTCTTTGGTCTCTTCCAACTACTGATCGATATAGCATGTGTGATTGTTTGTTGTTCATTTTGCTGAGGCATGAGGAAAATTCTAGGCTAGGGTGGATGAGTTGGGTATCTTGGCTTCATTTGAGACATACGCATGTGTCTCCATATTGGTGCATTGCATGTGTGTGCGGCACCCTACCTCACCTTATTATTATATTATTATTGTTATGTATATTATTATTAATATGTGATGTACTTGGTATATTATTGCCATCGCAGGCATATTATTGTTATACGGAGTATGTAATATCATATGCACTATTAGTTAGGCTTTAAAAGTCAACTCTTCTAATATTTTTATTTTTGTGTGGTATTTTTGTACTTATTTTATTTACTCATATTAAAGTACGGAGTATCATTTTTATTATTTGTGTCATATGTATAGTTATCACCTGTAACAAAAGTGTCACTTTTGTTATTTAAGTCAATGTCCTATGTAGTCAACATAATTATTATAAAAATGTCATGTTTATTATTGAAACACTTTTATCTGATTAAAATGTCACTGATGTTAAAATTTCATCTGATTCACTTAATTATTAAAATGTCACTCTCGTAACATTTTTATCTGACTAATAAAATTTATTTATTTTATTTTATTAAATTTTTCGAGGTGTCACATTCTACCCTCCTTAAAAGATATTTCGTCCCGAAACATAAATTAAAGAAAGTTTTATCCACAAATGAATACCACAGCTTAGTTAATATTAAATTTTATTTTATTAAATTTATGGAGTGTCACATTCTACCCTCCTTAAAAGATGCTTCGTCCCGAAGCATAATCTAATAAATAAAATATCTTCTATTATATTTTCAGAGGTATTACATTCTACCCCTCTAAAAACAAGGTTACGTCCCCGTAACCCAAACGTTTTACCTTAGTCAAATAACTCTGGATAGCGGTTGCGCATATCGTCTTCGGACTCCCAAGTGGCGTTTTCGGCCAAGTGGTTAGACCACAATACCTTTACCATTTTAATTGACTTTCTCCTAGTCTCACGAGTTTTGGTGTCAAGGATCTGGATAGGCCTTTCCTCATAAGTCAATGTCTCATCCAATTCGACCACCTAATTGAGTCAATGTTAGACATGTGGAATTTGATTTTGAAAATCGTAAGGTTACGATTTGTACCTCTGGGTTAAGGATATGTGATTCGTCGCGAATATACTTCTTCAATTGTGAAATATGGAAAACGTTGTGTACCTAAGTACATCACACGTTAGTATTTGAGAGGCACTTACTATTATATTTACCATCGAGAGGTTTTAAGATGTGTCTTACCTTAGCCAACTCCATGGGTAAAGCTAAACGGTATGCCAATCGTCCCACTCGCTCGAGGATATCATACGGGCCAATGAATCTCGGGCTTAGCTTTCCCTTCTTTCCGAATCTCATTACTCCCTTCGTTGGGGAGACTTTGAGTAAGACTTTTTCTCCTACTTTGAATTCGGCTGGCTTCCTCCCCAAGTCTGCATAAGACTTCTGGCGATCTTGTGCAGCTTTCATCCTAGCTTGAATCAGCTTCACCTTCTCCATGGTCTCATGTAGGTACTCTGGCCCTAACACCACCTTCTCTGTCAAGTCGCCCCAGCATAGTGGACTTCTACACTTTTGACCATATAAAGCTTCGTATGGGGCCATCTTGATACTGGCGTGGTAGCTATTGTTGTATGAAAACTCTATTAAGTCTAAGTGTTCGTCCCATGACCCTTGTAAGTCTAACATACATGCTCTCAGCATGTCTTCGAGTGTTTGGATTGTTCGCTCAGTTTGTCCATCAGTGGTTGGGTGAAAGGCTGTACTCAGTTTCAGTTTCGTCCCCAGAGCAGCTTGCAATTCCTTCCAGAATTGAGATAGAAATCTAGAATCACGGTCAGAAACAATGTCTTGTGGAACTCCATGATATTTAACTACATGTTTGATGTAAGCTCGAGCTAACTTTTCCATGCTCCATGTCTCGTTCATTGGGATGAAACGAGCGGTCTTTGTTAACCGATCAACTATAACCCAAACCTTGTCTTTGCCAGACTTGGTTGGGGGTAAGCCCCCAACAAAGTCCATGGATATAGAATCCCATTTCCATTTTGGCACCTCTAAAGGTTGCACGAGTCCCTTGGGCTTGCAACGTTCGGCTTTTACCTTCTGGCAGTTTAAGCATCTAGCCACGAATTCAGCTACCTCCTTCTTCATATTTGGCCACCAAAAATTGTTTTTGAGGTCTTTATAGAGTTTGTCGCCTCCAGGGTGTACCGAGTAAGGCGTGTTGTGCCCCTCCTCCATGATTTTCTTCTTAATCTCTTCACATTTCATCGGGACACACCACCTTCCTTTGTGTCGAATGCTACCATCTTCGTGTAGTTTGAATGGTCCGTTTAAGCCATTCGTCATACCAGCTCGGATTCTGTCCAACTTTATATCTCCAGGCTGCCCTGCTCTAATTTCGTCGAAAAGAGATGGGGTAACGGTCATGGCGAGTAACCGCGTTTCCCGATCTACTTCTCCGAAATCCCGTACCTCCAAGTCTAGTTTTTGAAAGTCCCGATATAGCTCATCAGGTAGTATCCATGTTGCTCTGCAGGAGTGTGTTGACTTTCGGCTTAGCGCATCGGCAACTACGTTTGCTTTCCCTTCATGGTATTGAATCTCCAAGTCGTAGTCCTTGACGAGTTCTAGCCAACGTCTTTGTCTCATGTTAAGCTCCTTTTGGGTGAAGATGTACTTTAGGCTCTTGTGATCGGTGTAAATTTTACATTGTATCCCATATAGATAGTGCCTCCATAGTTTTAAGGCGAAGATAACCGCTGCCAGTTCCAAGTCATGAGTCGGGTAGTTTACCTCGTGGGTCTTCAGTTGTCTTGATGCATAGGCCACCACTTTGCCATTTTGCATCAATACGCAACCCAACCCTTTCAAACAAGCATCGGTGTAAACCTCGAACCCCTCAGTACCCGATGGTAGGGTTAAGATAGGTGCGGTTGTTAATCTTTGCTTAAGCTCCTGGAAAGCCTTCTTGCATTCCTCATCCCATATGAATTTCGTGGTCTTCTTCGTGAGGTTAGTCAAAGGTTTTGCAATCTTTGAGAAATCCTTCACGAATCTGCGATAATAGCCTGCCAAGCCTAGAAAGCTCCGGACCTCTGTCACAGTTGTGGGTGTAGGCCAGTCTATCACTGCTCCGATCTTTGATGGATCAACAGATACACCTTCTTGGGTGATGATGTGGCCCAAGAATGCTACCCGATCCTTCCAGAATTCACACTTTGAGAGTTTGGCATAGAGCTGATTCTCTCTCAAAGTTTGCAGCGCTGTCCTCAGATGTTCTTCGTGCTCTTTTGGTGTCTTAGAGTACACCAGGATGTCGTCGATGAATACAATAGTAAACAAGTCGAGGTAGGGTCGAAACACACGGTTCATGAGGTCCATAAATACCGCAGGCGCATTTGTTAGGCCGAACGGCATCACGGTGAACTCATAGTGTCCGTACCTCGTTCGAAAAGCCGTCTTCGGAGTGTCTTTCTCAGCAATCCTCACTTGATGGTACCCGGATCTCAAATCAACTTTGGAGAATGTGTTAGCCCCCTTCAGTTGATCAAAGAGGTCATCAATGCGAGGCAGCATATATTTGTTCTTGATTGTTGCTTTGTTTAATTCTCTATAATCGATGCAGAGCCTCAGGCTCCCATCCTTCTTCTTTACAAACAAGACCGGAGCGCCCCACGGTGAGACACTCGGTTTGATGTAGCCCTTCTCCAACAGTTCTTCGAGTTGTTCCTTCAGCTCCTGCATCTCCTTTGGTGCCATATGGTACGGTGCCTTTGAAATAGGTGCGGTGCCCGGCATTAGATCAATCGAAAACTCAACTTCCCTCTCTGGCGGCATCCCCGGAATTTCTTCCGGAAACACATCCGGAAATTCATTGACCACAGGGATTTGATCAATGGTTGGATCTTCGGATGTTAAGTCTTTGATCATGCATAAATAAACTTCATACCTCTTCCGTACGTATCGTTTGACTTGTTGCATGGTTGCCAGCTTCACGCCTGGCTGAGATGTAACCACTTTGTAGGATACACGCTTCTTGTGGGGTCCTCTCAAGACCACCTTTTGTTCATCACAAAGAATTCTCACCTTATATTTTCCTAGCCAGTCCATTCCCAACACCACGTCGATATCCTCCAAGTCAAATTGGATTAGATCTCCGGGTAATTCGGTATCAGATATGACTATAGAAACATTGGTGAAAACACTCCCGCAAGCTACAACCTTATTAGATGCTGTTTTTACATTAAGATTGAGTGTAGTGGTAGGTTCTAACTTTAACTTTTCCACAAGTTTTGAGGATATAAAACTGTGGGATGCACCCGAATCAAACAGTACATGAGCAGGTGTGGAATTTACAAGGAATGTACCTGACACCACGTCATTGGCATTTGCCTGAGCTTGGTTCATGACGTAGATCCGGCCTTGGGTGTTGTTTTGCCCTCCCTGGCCCGGGTTACGGTTGCCCTCCGTTGATCGGCTTCCGGGATTACCACGGTTGTTGTTAATGTGATTATCCCCACCCCCGGTCCGGTTGTTCCCCTGGTTTTGGCCCTGGATCCGGGGTTTCTTCTCATCCAGGCACTCATACGCCCTATGCCCCATACGGTTGCAGTTATAACACTTCACCGCGTTCCCTGCACAATCCTTCCCAGGATGGTTGTTTGGGCATAGTTTGCATTTGTAGTACCGTGTTTGAGTTGGCTGGATTCTCCCCTGACCATGGCCATGGATGGTTCTCCCGCCTTGATTGTTTTGACGTTGTTCCGGGCGGTCAGTTCTAGCCTTCTTTTGTTGCTGCTCTATTTCAGCATTCTTTCGATCTCTCTTCTGTGCCTCTCTTTCTTTCTGGTGTACCAGATAGTACTTACCAGCCTTCCTATATGCCTCGTTCAGGTTTCGTGGCTCTGCTACAGTCACGAATTTTTGGGCCCCGTAGTTAAGCCCGTTAACAAATCTGCGGGTCATGCTGGCCTCGGTTGACACAAGGTCTTTGGCAAAACGAGCCAATTGGACGAACCTCGTGTGATATTCCTGAACAGTCAAGTCACCTTGCTTGAAATTGACAAATTCGTCATAATTTGCCTCCTTTACGTGATCCGGATAGAAGCGATCACGCAGAGCTACTATGAAGTCCTCCCAGTCAAAGCCCGGTTGCTCGAGAAGTGCTGGTCCGGTGGCGGCCCACCAGTGGTCCGCTTCTTGGTGCAGGTAATACACCGCAATGTTCACTCGCTGCTCCAACGGGCAGTTGAGTGAGTCAAAGAGTTTGTCGAAGGTGCGAATCCAGTCCTCCAAAATAAGATGGTCCTCCTCGCCCAAATATTTTGGAGGGTTCCGCCCGGCTACTCTTGTTGCGTAATCAATCCCACGGTTCGAGGATTGAGCCGCTCCGATAAGTTGTGCCATTTGTTGGACAGTTTGGGCAAGCTCTTCAACGGTTGGGGTTGTGTGGGGGTTCCTTCTTGGCGGCATGATTCTTAATAAAGAAAACGAATACTAAGTACTAAGGCATTCATAAGGCTTCTATGTTATGCAAGTTCTCTACTAACTCAAATTCTTATGACAGATAAACACATACAGAGGATAACATGTCCACATACTTCACATAGGCACGAATCTCAAGCATTTCATAACTCAATAATATCGTCAAGGTTTCTCCTTCTCACTGCGTTCCTAGAAAGGTCCTTTTCCTAGTATGTTCATTCTCCTAGTTCTTACGAAAAACATTTTGAAAATCCCCACTTTGAAACCATTGTTTTCGTCAAAGATTTCGAACAACGAAGTTTCAGCACAAGGAGAAATTCCCAGTTGGTTGGACGAGCGCAAAGGCTCAATTATGCACCAACCAGCTCAGACTCTTATCGTCTCGTTGACAGAATTCCTCCCTACGACCTATTACCCCGTGTCCTAATCCTTTCAAAAACCTAAGGGCTCTGATACCAATTTGTAACACCCCCATTTTCCCTCCCAAAATAATACTTGAAATAATAGATTTATTGATAATAACTTGATTTATTCTTTCAAAACAGATAAAAAGTTTTGCAGCGGAAATAACATTAAATGGGAAATGGGTGTTACCGCCACATCCGGTCATCTCTTAACCGAATGCACAGGCAATCACCAAACAAAGTAAAACAAGTGTTCAACATAATTGGATTGTTTATTTATAACTAGGTTTGACTAAGGCATCTCTAAACCGCTCTCGTGGTCATACAATCATCAGTCCACATAAGCATCATCACCTGCACAAATAAAGTGCAGAAAACAAAACAAAGAAAAGGGAACAAAAATTAGCTTTAGAGCTAAGTAAGTACTACCCAACCCCGTAAAATAATCAGGTTTGGCTAAAAATAGTTTTTCATATAATACTATATAAAAATGACACACTCCACCAAAATCCTTTTCTCTTTGATATTTCTCAAAATCACTTCTTTAATAAAGTCCTCAACTTTTCTTTGAAAATACTATAGTAACTCTTCTCTTAGATTTTCTCAAAATTCACTTCTTCTCTATCTTCCTAGTAATTTAGAAGGGCGGTGCTCAACCTTTCGACTGAGCCCGGTATACCGTGGCTCAGTCGGCCACCCCGAACGAGTGCCGGTACCACAACTGCTCTTGCGGAAACGAAACGACTACCTTAAGTGTGCACACCCCCTAAAAGGGATTCCAAGCCCTCCGAGTAGTAAGTCGTCACGAGTAATCGGGACTCAGTCTACCAACTACCCCTGAATAAGATATCTTTGAATGATTAGGGACTACTACTACAACTCTGCTTCTTAAAAGGGATCATCGATCCAATTATCACTCAAAACTTATCCTCACCCTTAGCAGTAGCAGCCCTTTTACGTCGGAACTACTACTGCTACCACAACTCTCCTTCTTAAAAGGGATCATCGATCCGAAAGTTACTCAAAAATCTCTTCTTAGTAGTAGCCCTAACCACTCTCCACATTTTAAGGGACGTGGAAAACCAACACCTCGGATTACTCCCGAGATGCCTACCTCTTATGAAATCATTCTTTTATCTTGAATTAATATACTTCAAAATATTCCTCAATTTCTCAAACTGCCTCAAAATGTTTAAATAAAATATTTAATACCCAAAAGCATTTAGTTTCACTTCTCAAATATCACAGATCCAACAATCTCAAAATCTCATACATATACATCATAACTCACATTAAAATCATGTATCACATAATACATATATAATACGAGGAAACGATTTTGGATCGGCAGAGAAACTTACCTCAAATTCAATGCTTCTATTTTTCTTCCTCTATTGCGGTCTCTAGATAATCACCTTTTTAATTAAGATGATATAATTAGTCGACTTTCTAACCTTAATTATTTACCAAATTTTCCCTTATTATTAGTTGAGTTTATCAATCTGTTTAGCCATTAATTCGAATTTCATTTTGCCATTAATCATCGATTAGTTTCTTCTATCAATTTTTATTCCTTACTCTACTATTTTTAATTCGGCCTTTCATTTATTTACTATTATTAATCCAACCTCCGCATATATAATTAGTTTACTAATCATCATCAATTAAAGATGTTGTTATTAATGTAATACTTATAAAATAATAGATCCGAAATGTATATTATTACAGATAATATATCCTAATTATGAAATTTCTCTAATTGCCTTTATTTAGTCCATCTTAATTAATCCACTATTTTAGTGTAAATAATAATCCACAATTTGTAATCCAATTTATCTCTTAATTATTCATGGTCACGTTATTAGTTTTTAACTTTTTATTAACTACACATCGGTTTATTTTACCATTTAACATTATGTATTTATGTTAAATAACAAATACACAATTTATCCAAGTGATTATTATCGATCAACCAAGCCAACATCATCATTAATATTTCTCATCTCAAATTTATTCATTTTGCAGATTACTACTGTTATTATTATTATTATTATTATTGGTAGTAGTAGTAGTTCGGTATTTAAAAGTAATCGGCCGACGTAACCATATGTACAATTCCAGTTCAATCCACCAAATGATTCAACCGTCCACTTGTTTATATGATTATTGTTAATGGTCTAAATGAATATAATCAGCCCAGATATTTACAGCAATTGACCGGTTTATCAATACATACAAC